CCCCCGCCGCCCGCCCCGGCCCCGGCCGCTCCGGCGCCGTCGGCGCCGACGGGCACCCCGCCGGCGAGGGGCGCGTCGCGGCGCCGGTCCGGCAGGTGCCCTTCTGCCTTCCGCCCGACCTCAACCGGGGGACCATCGCGGCCCTGGAGGAGCTCCTCGGGCCCGAGAACGCCCCCTCCCTCGGCCGCCTCAAGCGCCGCCTGGGCATCCTGCCCGCGCCCCCGCGCGCGCCGCGGGTGGTCGTGCCGATCCCGCACCACCCGAGGCGCGTCGCCGTGTGAGGCCGCTCCCGGGCCGCCGTCGGGGCGGCGCCTGCCCGCCGCCGCCGGCCCCTGCCCCTGCCCCATGCGCAGATCTTACTTACCCATGTCTTTGTTCCCCCTCACGCGCACATTTCGGCCGCTCGCGCCCCCACGGGCGGCCCGCGCGGCGCGGTCTCTTTTCCTTTCCCTTACCTTCCTCGCACCCAGCGCCGCGGCGCCCCGCCTCACTTTTCGCGCGCGCGCCCCCTCGTGCCGCTCCGTGTCTTTGTCGTCGCCTCTCTACATGTCCCTGCTTCCATTTTGCGACCCGCCTGCCCGTCTTCCGGCACTGAGAACCCAGCACCGCCTCCCCAGGGCCCCCCACCCAAATCGCGAGCCACCACGCCCCCGCGCGCGCGCCCCCGGCCGCCAAAACAAAAAAAGCAGGACTGCTCTTGCAAGAGCGCGCCACGCCCCCGCACGCTATGCGCGCCGCGCCCCCTGAAAAAGACAGTGCAGGCCCTCCTCACCTGACCAGGCCACGTGACCATGCAGCCCTCGTCGGCCCGCCTCAGCGCGGCACGCGGACGCCCCAAGGGCGGGCCCGCCATGCAGCGCGGCGCGCTCAGCGCAGCGCGCCGCCGCGCGCGGCGCAGCCAGCACCCTTGACACTTGTTTGACCCGCCGCCTCCGCCCGAGGCGCCTCCCCTCGTGTATCCCAACCCTGCTGTATCCCTGTATGTGGCGCTTTACCCCGTGTGCCCCTCAAACTGCCAGCAGCGTTTGACCACGAAATCGTAGACCCAACTGTGTGTCCCCCCCAGGTCAGATCGGCCCCCACACCGCAAACTTTTGGCGCGCCGCTGGTCTGGCGAGCGCGCCCTTCCCCGGTGCCTGCGCTGTCTTGCAGCAGCCGGCAAGCGCCGGCACCACCCTCGCACTCGCGCGCGGAGCGCTGCGCGCCGCTGCGCTCAACGGCCGCACGCACCCTCAACCGCGTGCGTCTGCCCGTCCCGGCCGCCAGGCGCGCAGCCCGGCTTCATGGCGGCCGCACTCAAAATGCAGGACGCGCGCCGCGCCTCGTGCGGCGGCTTGGGCGCACTGCCTTGCCCAGCTCTTTTTTTCCCGAGCACACCCTGGCGTGCGATCCGGCTGCGCCTCTTGCACCGGCCCCGCACGTTTTTGACCCGCGTGGCCCCTGTTCTTGTGGTCGTCCCCTTTTACACCCACCAACCCCGAAAAAAAGCCGCCGCCGCCGCACTGCACATGCCCTTGCCGTTTCGAAACCCCGTGTCGCGTTGTCGGGTGTAAATGCTGAGTTGAGTCCCATGGCTGGTGGTGGCACGGTGCTGATGTGGCCCAGGCGGGGGTCAAAGTGGGGGGACAGGTTACAGCAGAGGCGACCCGAGGTGGTTCTTGAGGCAGAAGAGAGAGGTGACAGTTCGAACACGACATTGCTGCCAACAGGCGGCCCGCAAGCACGCCAACCGCACCGGTAAAGCAAAACCCCAACAGTCGCACAACGGGACGCCGGCCGCATCCGACGCGCGCGTCCAAACATCATAAACCGTGAGCGAAGCCGCTGGTCGGCGTGCCGCCCCGCCCGCACCTGCAAGCGGCCCCTGAGCCCCGACCCCTGTCCACACGCTCACACCGCGACGTGCCCGGCCACGACGCCGCTGCGCACCAGCAGCAGCGAGAAGGCGCTCAGCGCGCACCACACGCACGTCGGCCACCAAGCGAGAAACCCCGCCGCGGCCGCAAACAGCGCGCTCGGGCGCGCCGCCCACGCCGCCGCGGCGGCCGCGGCGGCGGCCGCCGCGGGCGTCTTCGGCGGGCCGCTGAGCTCGGGCAGCATGCCCTTGATGATATCCGCCAAGTCCGGCGCCGCCTCCGCCGCGCCGCTGCCGCCACCGCCGCCGCCCACAGCCGCCAATTCAGCGGCTCGCGCCGCCGCCTCGTCAGCGGCCCGCCGCGCCGCCGCGCTCGGCAGCGTGTGCAGCAGCAGCAGCCCCAGCGCGGCGGCCTGCAGCGCCGGCAGGAAGATCATCTGCAGCGCGACCTTGCCCGCGAAGACGAGGGTGATCTTGGACTGCCGGTTGATCTCGCGCGCCTTGGACGCCTCGTCGGCGCCGGCGGCGTGGCGGATGACAAACCAGTTGACGAAGCCGAGGTTGAGGTAGGACTGGGGGGCCAGATGATCAAGGCAAGATAGAGGGGATAGAGGGGCGGCAACAAGGAGTGTTGCTGGGCGCGGGTGCCACAACGGCAGGCATGCGCCTGGGCCATGAGACCACGCAACCACGTGCACGCGCTCATGTAGAGCTGCCAGCATGATTACAGCAGTGGGGTTCAGCAGTCTGACAAGCGGCAGTGTGGCCGTTCCGAATCGGCGCCCACCGGCCGCAGCAACAAGCACCGAGCTGCAGCGACGAGCGCCCCGCCGTCGCGCTCACCTGCACCAACGGCCGCACAGACAGCAGGTTGGCCAGCGCCGCGGCGCCCAGCACCGCGAGGCGCACGCGGTCGAGGGCGGCGGGGGGCAGCAGCAGGGCATCCGCCATGGGGCCAATCTGGGGGGTTGACCGGGCGGCGGGGCGGCGGGGCGGCGCGTCGAGTTGACTTCTTTTCATGGCTCAGAGCGTGTTTGCTTGCTAGGTTGGAGGCGAATCCCCCAACAAACAACCGCTGGGCATCACTCGCGCCACCCGCCGACACCTGGGCGCAGCCAGCGCCCCAGCGCCGCGCCTCATGCGAGCAAGAGGCTTAACTACCTCCCCCCTCCCCCCAGCACGGAAAAGCCGATGCCAAGCAAGCGGCGGGAGCGCACCGGCGCCGCTCCGCCGCCCCCCTTCCCCTCTCACCCACCCATAGGCCGCAGACCGCCAGGTTGAGCGCCAGCCCCAGCTGCACAGTCAGCACCTGCCGCCACGTCAGCCGCGCATACTGCAGCATCCACGGCCGCGGCGCGACCGCGTCGGTCAGCAGCCGCCCGTACCTCCACGCCGGCCCGAGCATCAGCCCGCCGGCGGCGCCGCCGAGCAGCGCAGCGCCCGCGGCGAGGACAGGGGCGTCGACGGCGCCGAGAGCCTTGGAGATCGCGCCGTGCGCGATCTGGAGGCGCTCGTTCGACAGATACGAGGGTAGCCACCCCTCCCAGAGTTCCTTGGCTGCGGCCCGCAGGTCGAGGGCGAGGGCGCCCTGGGGGCTGAGGCCGACGGCCGCGAGCGCCGCGATCGCGAGCGCGGCGCCCAGCAGTCCGACGGCGATGCGGTCGCCGCTCTGGACTGCCGGGTGCAAGAACTCGGACTGTCGGGGTTGGTTGGGGGTCCGGGCGCGGCGCGGGGGAC